TATATTAGCACTACAACTAACCCATCGCTTACCATGGAAGCTATATAATTCCTTTCCTCTACCTTTCCCCCCTTAAAAACCAGTTACATTTGAAGAACTCAACTTTCTTGACCTAATGCCCACCCCAGGAAATCTCTCACAAACAAATATAAAAAGAAAAATACTATGTACATAGCTAACAATTATATGACTCCTAGAAGGAGAATAAAATGAAATCAAGCGTACTATACAAATGACCCAAAAACATGGGGGTTAAAGCATCTCTCCCTCGTCGCCAACATGCAAGCATACCACATGTAGTCTATTAGGACCACCTTGAAACAAAATCCTCAACAAGAGGCAAGTAATGGAAGTAACAAGGGCTGTAGAATCTATACCTTTTCTAGTTGCTTTCAACCTCAGATACCAAAACTTAGACCATGCTTTCAAGGAATAGTTACTGTGCTGAATAGGAAGCAAACCTTGTTGCATTTGGGCATCAAAATCCATCAATCACTCAAAAATCTCTTTACTTAGACCCTCCCAAAACTCTTTACGAGTGATATCTATGATATGAAAAACACTAGAGAAAGGGAAATCCACCAGCACCACAACATCCTCTAGAGTTACAATAAACTCTCCCCATGTGGTAACAAAGTATGAGTTGTATGCCACCATCTAGAGTAGAGTACATGGATGAATTCCAAAAAACGATTACTAAACAAAGAAACAATGTGAGCAACCAACTACCACTGACTACTGCATATAGATAGGTGTAAAGAGGATGAGCTAACATGCATGAACACCAATTCATGAATATGTTTGTGCGGTCTTCATACATCTTCAAATGTTGTGCTTCAGCTTACCAGGGAGATGTTAGCTCTTGAAAATATCCCACCTTATCAGGTTGAATGAAGTCTTGAAAGTGCCTTTTAATAGCTTTCTCTCCCAATAGTAGTAAAGAGGAATCCTCATGCGGAGGATTCGCCATGAGAGAATCATCACAAAAATCCATAGAGTCCATGTCCATGACCACAATCCTAGCACTCGAACTATCAATCTTATTGGAAAAATCATTGACAACATCAACAACAATAGTTTTTTCGGACACCATTGTTGAAAGGGCAAGGGAAATGCATAGAAGAATTCAAAAGAATATAGAGGCACAACAAAAATAGAAGTAACAGAGGCAATAGAGAGCAAGAAAAATAGTATAAATGCATAAAGAATAAAAAGCATAAAGCAACTAATTTATAGGAAACAAAAATCGTGCCAAGTATGGTACACATGTCACTAGGACAGAGAATAGCTTAAACACTAAGTCTTGATTAACGGTTTGTATGCTTGACCGCCATTGTTACATTTTCTAAAAATCTTGCCCTATTAGAAACAAATCTATTTCAAATTAAGCATGCACAAATCAAGAATACTAAGAGCTTGAGGAATAAACTTATCTTCATGTGATACTTTTCAAAATTCTTAGAGAACGATTACCATAACCACAACCACAACACCCCCAAAACTCCAAATACCAAGGCTAGACAAAGAAGGAAAATAACATAAAAAAGATGTAAGAAATAGTTGAAGGGGCTAGAAGGACTAAGGGTAGACCAAAAAGGACATGGGTTGAAATAGTAAGAAATAAATTAAACACTCATAATTTAACAAGGGATATGGCAATAAATAAAACTAGCAATGACCCGTGCGATGCACGAGATGCTGTATTCTACATTTTTACGTATAGAATAGTAATTTTGTATTTATTGGTTATTGAACTCTAAACTTTCCTCTTTATATGGCTTATATATTATGAGAAACACATAAGCCAAGTGATGATGGCTCAATTGATACCTTATCTAGTTAGTTGTAGCAAAAACATGGGTTGGGGCAATGGGCTACCTCCCATTGATGAAGATAACCAAAAACTCGCATTGAATTATTTCTTACTACATTTTATTATTAAATTAAGAAAAATCCACTAAACAGATTTACATTAAAATAAGTTAATAGAAACAAAGGGAAAACTTAAACCCAAGGAAAGGAGTAAAATAGAGGGAAAAACTTGATTACCCAAGGAAAAGAACAATGATTTGTTTAGATTGGTTCACCCCACGAACTAGTGGGCAAATTTGGGCCCAAGCTAAGGTTCATATTTAGGTTGACCCTTAATCTAACCGAGTCCATTTGATTTACACCCTACTTTATTAGAGAGAGCCAAAAGGGATTGAAAAGACATTTAAGAGGAAAATAAGGAATGGGGAGGGGAGATTTATGTGGAGGTGTGTGTGTGAGAGAGAGAGAGGGCGTGTAAATATGGATTTTATGAAAGACAATAAAGACCCATAAGGTTTTTAATGATTCAATACAAAAACAAATACATGTGTGAGAAAGTAGAAGAAGAAGAGCTACATGTGAGTTTTGTGGTGAGAGGACCCTCGCCACCCTTCTTTCCTCTTTCTATTATATATAGATGGACTAACAAAATAGGATTCCTGTAGTGTGGTTGATTTTGTATGGTTGTGATAAGGTTTAGATGATGACAAAACAATGAATGTATGGGTTAGTAATCCACCATATTTGTTTTGTTAGTGGACCTCAAACTAATTGTGATGCTCTTATTATTTAAGGTTGTTTTTGGTTGCAATACAAATAAGTTTGCACTAATGCAAAATTATGGCAGTGCAAATGATTTGAGTATAAATTATGACCTTTTTTTTTCAAATTTTAGCTTATTTCGTTTGATTGAATTACAAATGAAATAAATTAAAACATGAAGCAAAATAAAGTAAAATCTAAAATAAAATTAAACAAGAAATTGCATTTTTTTACATTTGCACTCCCATGCATTTGTATTGGTGCAAATTTATTTGCACTACAACCAAACATAACCTAATGAACACTTTCTTTGATTGTAAGAAGACTCATCGATTTATCTTCTAGGATCTTTTCTAATCCTACTATAGCACTCAAATGTTTTAAAACTTACTCAACCTTGAACCATTCCATCTTATAAGGTTGGATAATGAACCCTATTTCACCATTTCATTTTGTTTAATGCAATAACCTAGTAATCTACTAAACAAATTAGACTAGTCAATAATTCAACTACCAAGGGTAACAGGTTGTTGGCCATGACAATTGTTTATTTATAAAATGGTGGGTTGGAGGTTGATTTGAATCGTTTTATAATTGGGCATCATCAATGATCTAATCGGCCAGGTCAACTACAATTAAAAAGATTATTCAACTTAAATTTTGTTCTTACCCAACCTAGGGTGATTGATTGGGAGTTATCTGAGTTATATGTTGATCTAAAAGTTCTTTATGTTAACCCTCATGTCATTTATGCATGAGTAGGTGATGTGGACAAAGGAAATTAGTATTGTTCATTTATATATGGTAAACCAAATAATGTTTTTATAGAAATAGAAAAGCTTTTGAAAGTTTGTTGAAGGAGCCTTGGATTTGTATGGGAGATTTCAACCTAGTTTTCCAACAATGGGAAAAAAGAGGGAGAAAAGTCATATAACTCTAAGTACTTGCAAAGAAATAGGGAACTGATGGATGAGTGTGGATTGGTTTGAGTTAATTAGCCAACGACCCTTGTTTATTTGGCCCAATAATAGAGATGGGGAGAAAAATATTATAGCAAAGCTTGATAGAGCAATCTGTAACATTGATTGGTAGGATAAGTTTGAGGAGGTTTATGTAAACATCCTTCATGCCTTTTGGTTTCCCATCATTTCCTTTCAACACTCTTAACAAATCCTTATTAAACTAGGACATTCTTTACTTTTTTCTACCATACGGTAAAGTTACCTTTGACATCAAATATCTCAATTTGGAATCGAGATAATTACACTTTTTGTTGCCATTATCTTTTAAGCAATTTTATGAACATCTTGTAAACATTAACTTGTAAGCTTTGACATCACTTTGTTAGGTTCACAACAGCCACCTATAGGATAAAACTACGAAGTATTTGAAGCAAAATAACAATAAAGAAAATGCAATAGCAATAGAATAAATGAAATCCAAGCGAAGACAAACAAAATAAGCACCATTAAGAACATAAAGAACTTATGTGGTTTGGCCTTACTACCTACATCCATAGGAGAAACGAAAGCTGTTTTTCACTTTAAAAGTAAAGGAAGAAAAATTGTACAGAATACTTTGTGGTTTTTAACCCTTATACATCCATTTTCCCTTCTCTCAACTCGAAAAACAAAACAAGAAAAAAGAACATACTCTACACCAAGAGCACTCTTCATTCTCTCAACCTCTAATTTTTTTTTCTCTCTAAAAAGAATAAAATCCACCTTAACCTAAAGAAAAATCACACCAACTTAGATTACAACTTAATTAGACAATCAAAGACATAACCCCAACAATATTTTATTTATGACTAAACCAATGGATATTTCTTTCTGTTTGTAAATAGGACTAATGTTGGGTTAGCACACTTGTTAGCGCAAAAGAGGTTCAGTAGAGTCGGCCTTATTTTTACCTTATATCCTTAGGTGGCTAGAGTTTGTTGCTAGCCGTGACTTAGATGGGCCCCTTGGTATGTCTCTAACTCTGTTCTAGGCTCACTTTCTCTTATTTACAC